ACCCCCTCGGGTCGGGTCGCGTATCGCGTGCTCGAGATGGGCGTGGCTGACCCAGCGCACACGATGGCGCACTGGCCAGGCTTTTCCCTCAACCCGGGCGTTTGGGACTTGTACCGGCTCAAGAATCAGCGACTGCAATTCGACACGACGTCGGATGTGTTTGAACGCGCGTTCTCGCTGCAAGTGCGGCGTGCGGGCTTGCACGTGGCAGCGCTGACGACGACAGTGGCGACGCACATTGGCGCGCCGCCCGGCTCGAACGCGTCAGCGTATGTTCTCAACGGCCTTCCGAGACGCTTTGACGCGCCGCTTGGGCAGGTGTAGTGGATGAAATAGGAGCTTTGAACGAAGAATGTTGATCGTCTAGTTGTAGTTGATACTGAATGCTAAGAACGAATGTGGACAGGGTGCGCCCGCAACTTCTTGAGGTGCGAGATACGACCGCACTACCCTAGCCCTTGTGTGGGATCGACGACGTTGGGACTCGTGTGTCTCTTGGGATGCAGCGAGGTGCAACTAGTCGATCGAGCTTTTGACTAGCATGTTTGACAGAACGAAAGAGGTAGTAACATATTTGGAGGCAGCGAGCGGCTCGCCCTGTGGGTCGATTGGGCAACGCTGGCGAGAGAAGAGGTCGAATAAAAGTCGTAGTTTTGGGCTCCAACAAGACTCGACCAAGAAGCGTCAAGGACCGTTGGCTCAGTATAGAGAGGTGCAATGCGTGCACCGCGACTGGAGAGCATCGATCGAACCGTTGGAGATGTCCGGATAATGAACGCACCACCGCCTGCCAGCTCACACTCATCCGGATAACGAGATCGAATCCAACGGGCTCATGGGGCTGGTGCCAGGGCGGGTGGTGTCATTTTTCAACAAGCCACGATGGCAGCAAGCGCGTCGGACGACAAGAAGGCGCGCAAACGAGCCGCCAGCAAAAAGTACCGCGAAGCCAACAAGGAAAAATTGCGGATGCGGGACAAGACGTTCTACGCCTCCCACAAGGCAAGAATGCTGGCCAAGAAGAAGCAGTACAAGGTTGTGAACGCAAAGAAGGTTGCAGTGAAGGAGAAGCAGTACCGCCAGAAGCACAAGGAAGTCCTCCAGGCCAAGAAAAAGCTGTGGAACGTAGCGAATCGAGCGTACAGGGCCGCATACAAACGTGCTCAGTACGACGTCCTTGTGTTCAATCGGATTCACGTTCTCACTTTCTAGTCGGGCGCAGAAGAAGGCGATTGCTGCCGGCAAGGTCCCACCGCCGCTGCCCAAGG